TTTTTTTTTTTTTTTTTTTTTTTTTTTTTTTTTTTTTTTTTTTTAATATCTCTTTCTTTCCTCGCCCTTTCTCTTACTTATTTTTTATTTTTTATTTTTTTATTTGTCATTATTTTTTAAACCACTAGTACCTCCGCCAGTGTTGGGAAATTACGATGTTTTGCCTGTTCCCGAAGTTATCGGGGGTGGGACACGCGGTCGCCACTGTCCCATAAATCAAATTTTTATATTATCCGCGAGTGAAAGAAAAAGGAAGAACAGAAAATACTATCTGTACTGCAATGATGTCGGGCAAGGTAGTTTTTGAGGCCGTGCTCAAAGTCTTCCTCTACAGAATGCACCTCACTGGTAAGGCAGTCACATTCTGGATGTTACTGTTTTCTTTTTTTTCTTGTTCATGTGTTTCTCGTAAGTCCCCTGCTAATGAGGCAGGGAGGGATCCGTTAATTGCTCAAGCCATCCGTGATTTGCTCAAACTGTGTTTTGTCAGAGGATTGTAACACTCGGGAATGTATCCAGCCATTTTCACAGTTGGATCCGTGTGCCCGTTTTTTCCCCTTTGTATTATTTTGTTCGAATCTGACAACCTGGCTACGGGGCTGAGATGCCCTCACTGAGGGCACACTCACACGACCACTTCCAAGAATGTATACAACTGCAATCACGGTCAAAGCTTTGTTTCGTTTTTTTTTTTCCCTTTTTTTCTGAGTTCATGGCCAACTTTTTTTTTTTTTTTCTTTTTTTTTTTGTTCGTTCTGTGAGAGTACCAGAAAGAAAACTGAGTGGTACCCAGGCTTGGCAAACTCGGAGCGCAGTGAAATTCAGGATCGGCAAAAAACAGGCACGGAGGTACTGGTGGTTTAGTTCGTGAATTAAACTCGGACTTCGTAGCCAGTTACTCTTATTTCTGCGGGCGTGGCCCGCACCACCCGCACCACGGGCGCTTAGCTAGTTATTACTATTTGACCTCCTTACAAAATATCTATACTCAAGGCGTGGAGGGGCGTGGCAGGGTGCTATTCTCTTTTCCCGTTGTTGAGGGCTCCAGTTCAGTACCCATGCACACAAAAAACCCCGAAACTACGGTGTTGATTTTGCTTCTTATTACTATTTGACCTCCATACAGAATATCTATACTCAAGGCGAGGAGGGGCGTGGCAGGGTGCTATTCTCTTTTCCCGTTGTTGAGGGCTCCAGTTCAGTACCCATGCACACAAAAGACCCCGAAACTACGGGTAGGGTGGTATCGCAACCAAGTTTGGGGCTTGGAGGGCTCGAGGAAGGCCAGGTGACAAACCCTTCCACAAGGAGAGGCGGGCGGGCAAGTTCTTCCGCCGTAGGAGGGACGGCACTGGGCCTGAATTGCGCGTTGGTGTAGGACGAGCAAGCTGTGAGAGGTTCCTGGCAGGTCATCAACGGTGGTGAATAAACTACCAGGTAGCGAAGAAAAGCCCCTTCTCGGAGCGGCGGGTGAGGGCGCAGCGGGATAAAGAGGATCAAAACAACAATAGTCGGTCTCTTCTGCTTCCCGCCATAGCCAACCATGGTTCTCAAGTAAGTCATCTTTGCCGCGCCGTCTTGGCTGTCCTGCTTTCCTCGCTCGCTTGCTTGTCCTCATCACGTTAACCTCCATCTCCCATCATTATCGTCTCAAGGTCGGTGCGCATTCCGGCATCTCTGTCGCTGGCAATTTACGCTGCAAGTTATACCAGTGGACCTCCATCTTTGAGTTTTTCTATCCCTCTCCGTCTCATGGACGGTCGAGCGTCCCTGCCTTTCGCTACCCGGCTCTCTTCTTTCAGTGCACTCTTTCTGATTGCTCCAATTTCTCGCTCTACGCTGCTCCTATCTCCTCTGCATTTCCTACGTTATGTTCGTCTGTTCCTCGCTGCCCTCCTTTCGTCTTCTCCTCTCTCTTTCAGCTCACGTCTCTTTCCTCTCGTCTTTCCTCCTCTACCCTCGTCGTACCTCTTTCCTCTCAGCTCTTTACCTCTCTCCCCTTCTGCTGCCTCTGCTCCCTCTCTTCTCCCTCCTATTCCGCATTCGTTCTGTTACCCCTTCTCTTTCGCTCCTCTCTTCTCGCTCTTCTCCTGTATCTTCGTCTCCTCCTTTGTTTGCTCTCCTCCCGTTTGGTGCTCCCTCTTCTCTGCTCCCTCGTTGCACTGTACTCGTCCTTGTCTCCTTCCTCTCTCTCGTGACGGTTCTATTGTCGAGCTCATCTTTCCAGTTCTGTTGCCAGTCCACGCTCGTGCTTAGGTCGGTTTCTCTTATTCCGTTTTCTTTTCCTACTCTGTTTTATTTCCCCACGCCATTTCCTTTTCTCCAGTAGTCTCTTTTCTACTCCTTTGTCTGCCTCACTATGTTTTCTTTCTCTACTCAGTTTTTTTCCGAGTCAGTCTGGTCTCAGCTCACCCGTCCTCTCCCTTCCGTATCCTCTTCCTCGTCCGGTGAACCGGAGCTGTCCTGTCCATTCTCTTCCAGCCGTGCGGTTTCCCCTGTCACTGTTTCATTCACGTTCCCGCTTTTGTGCAAGGATATCCTTTGACGTCGTCCTTTCATGAGTGCGAGTCGACGTCTCTGGGACTCATCCTGAGATGCAGGAGGGGCGTTGCCATCTATATATCACTTTCTGTTGTCTCAGGGTTTCTTCTGACACTGCCGGATGCGTACGGTGTTGGGTTGGCGTATCTTGCAGGACGGAGATTTGCCGCTTTAGCGGTGCCAAGATCTACCCTGGCAAGGGAATCCGATTCATTCGATCGGATTCGCAGGTATGTTCTGCCTTACGTCCCAATAGGATCTCAGGACGGAGTGTCATGTTCATCCATTTCCTTTACAACGCTGTCGGTGTGTGAAAGGTATATATAGACAAGGTTAATGCTTGGGTCTTAGGTGATCGGTGCGATCAAGTTTTTCCCGTTTCAATGAAGGGACTCGCCTTGAACCTGCTCTGCCTGGCTGCGTCACAGAGGAGTGCTGAGTGATGAGAAAGGTGAACGTGGGGAAGAAGAGGGAATTGAGATGTGATGAAGATGGCAAAGAGAAGGATTAGGTTGCCGAGCGCGGGAAGGTTATGGCGCTGGTGAAGGTGTGGAAGAGGGAACTTGTAGAAGAAACAGAGATGGTGTTGGGGGGGATGAGTTGCGAAACTTGGGAAGGTGGTGATGAAGGTAAAGATGCGGAGGAGAGAATTGAGAGGGAGCAAAGATGGGCTGAATCTTGGGGAGCAGTTGGTTGAGGAGAAACCAGATTGATGTCGAAGGTCAATTTGGGGATGGGGGCGTTAGGTGGAAAGAGTATGAGATTTTGGAATGTAGTGCAGCGAGGCTGGGGTTCATCTGCCCGCAGAAGGGGGACTGGAGTTTCCCCCTCTCATTCAGAATGGAGTCAAGTGGCGAGCGAACAGAAATGGATGAGCGGTCTTCATGCCGGGCGCCTCCGAGGTTGCAGTGAAAGCGATGGATGTGGGAAAGTTAAGGGGAAGGGGATTTCAGAAGTTGGGAGTGACGGATGGTATATATGTGGAGATTGGGGAACAGTTGATCGAGGAGAAAACTGCATGATGTAATGGTTGGTGTGGTAGAATGAGCCTTGTTATGTTGGTTACCTGTTGCCGTCTTCAAGGGAACAGTCCTATGTACCATTGTAAAAGAATGGTGATTCCCCTGGGCTATCACAAGGATCATGTAGTCGTTCTTTGCGAGGAAAGAAGCCGACTAATAAGTGGTATAAGTCCACGTCTCGGCGGAGGCGAAGGGATCTCTCGCTGGTTTCTTGATTGTGAGTCGTATTGCTGTTGATAGGTGATTGCCCTGTTGGCGAGCGCAAGGGGCACAGCTGTTGAATGATAAGTGAGTGTTTACTGTTCTAGTGCAGTCTCGTCCCTGGGTGGGTTTCGGTCTCACTTGGTGCGGTTTCGTCCTTGTGCTAGGCTGCATCAGGAAATGATGCCCTCGTTGAGCATCTATTATGAGAGGTGACGAGCTGATTGACGGACCTGGAGGAAGGCAGGCTTTTGTCCAGACTTCCGCACAGGCGAAGGAGCGTTCGAGAAGGGAAAGGGACTAGACGTTGTGGAGAGGATGTATGTGTGCTGTCCTGGGGGGAAACGTAATGTTATAAATGGAACCGCGGATTTGGTCGAATGGGGAGAAGGGGGAAGTGGCATGGCGGGAGGGGAAGAGAGATTATTGGATGGGCTTACTCGGTGGGCTGAGGCAAGGGAGAAGTGGATCAGGGAGGTATGTGGTCGTAGTACTGTAGTGCGGTTCAGCTTTGTAAGAAATTTGGAAAAGAACAAGAAGTGTTAATAATAAGGGAAGGGAGGAACGAACACAGCGTTTGCCTTAACGGCGTGGGTTGTTAACGGTAAGTAGGGGTTCATGAAAGAGGATGGCGTTCGCGCTAGTGAAGCGATTAAATGGTCTTCATTTTGTGGATTTCGATTTTTGGGTGGGATCAAGGGTAACATCGAGAGCTAAAAGAGTCTCTTGAACTTCGTGACGTGTGCAGGTGTTCCTGTTCGGTAACTCAAAATGCAAGTCGCTCTTCCATCTTAAGAAGAAGCCGTCCAAGCTGGGATGGACGGCTCTTTATCGAAAGCAGCACAAAAAGGTATGTCGAGCGGGGAATCCAGTATATAATGTTTTGATGAATTGGTTCTGCTACTACGTTCTATAATTTTTGTCTTCGAATCGCGCCTGTTCCGGTAGGGAAACTAGTATTCTTCGGTGAGAGATTGGATGGTTGATTGAATTACGCGTTATTTCGGCGACTGTCGGAAGTGCAAGGGACCGATGTTTAAATTTCACAAACCATCATCTGAAAGGGGACAGATGTAGATGAAGAGCTTTTGGGTAACGAACTTTACACAGAGAAGGCCTCTGTTTTGTGATATGAATATGAATGACCAACCACTTGCGGCTGTGTGGTATGAACATGAATGACCAACCATTTGCGGCTCTACACTCCGAGATGCTGACCTAGATTCCACTCTTTGTCCGACCGATTCTCAGCGGCGTTCCCCTCGGCTCTACACTCCGAGATGCTGACCCAGATTCCACTCTTTGTCCGACCGATTCACAGCGGCGTTCCCCTTTCTTTCTGTCCGACGGGTTTTTCTTTTCTTTCCTCGTTTGGAGTACTATCTTAGCATGGTCATTTGGAGATTGTCAACTCTCGCTTGTCCTTTTAGGATGTATCTGTTCTGAGCTACTGCCCTCATCGAGCATATCGACGTACTTACTATGTCGTGGTTGTGTCAATTGTAGAGGACAAGATCGCGGCGTATGTGCATAATTCTGCTAACACTAAAATCCTTGTTGTTTCGCTGAGTTGGTAAACCCTCTGGTGCAACGCAATCCAGGTATTGCACCAGTTGAGCTGTGGTAGGCATTAAGAGGAAGAACCTTACTACCTTCTTACCCCGAATACAACGTACGGTCATTATAGCTGTATTTAGACTGAAAGATGACCCGAATACTGCTATAATGACGGTACGTTGTATTCGGGGGAAGAAGGTAGGGCGAGCGAGAAGCATGTGTTGACCACGTGGCATTCCAAGGAGTGACCTTTGTAGGGCGGGAAGCGTGTGTTGACCACGTGGTACAGTTTATATTGAAGTGCCGTGTTGAACGTGGGTGGGTACTGACTGCATTTTGAAGGGAATAATGCTGAGAGTTGATGAAAACCGAATCCAACATAACATGATGCAGCAGCTGTCGCCCGAAGTATCATCTCATGTAATAATCTGCAGTGTGAGCTAGAATGCGGAAGTAGCATAAGTGCTCCTTCAGGAAAGTTCAGTGCACGTCCATCTTCGGTGGTGGTCCCTAATTACCTTCGTTTCGACATCTCAAAGAGACTGCCGGTAGACCTGGACGAGATTAGGGTTACGGTTCTCAAAGAATGTGCTAAGAAGAAAATTAGGGTTAGCGCGTGGTTAAGAATGAAGGAATTGTTCAGACCAGAGGAGTGTAGGAAGCTTCCTCGTTGAAATGGTCGTCTTCATCGGCTGTTGATGTAAGCCTAATCCTTTGTACTGTCCTCTTTACTGCAGTTTACGCTTCCCTCTTCTCCCGAATACAAATCATGCCGATCCTGAACGTTGCACGAGCTACCTTTCCCATCCGAGTGGACTCGACCTCTTCGACCTACCTTACCTCTCATTGGGTGGAGGAAATTCTCATTGTTAGGCTTTTTTTTTCGAGGCGTTGTATTCGGCGATTGAGTAATCTAGTGTTGGGGCCTGCGAGGGAGGGGTGTGAGTTGTCTATGTTCGCCGTTGGTTGGTTGCGGAAGCTAGCTTTCCTCGTTGTTCTCAGGGATAACAAGTTTATGGAGTGGCATAGGTCAAGAGAAACACTGGGGAAGAGTGGAAATGGTCGGTAATTAAATGAATGTCATAACAATGACTCGTGAAGTTTAGCATGTACCAGGACAAGCTGCTCACTGTCAACTCTGGTGTGTATAAATTCTTTCTGTCACGCAGGATGCCCACGCCGAGACCCAGCGCAAGAGGCGGAGGACCATATCGAAGCCAATCAACAGGTCGATCGTTGGTGCTTCCTTGGAAGTGATCACGAAGAGGCGAACTGAGAAGGCTGAAGTACGAGAAGCCGCGAGAGAGGCAGCCTTGCGGTATGTCCCTTTATCCTTTCCTCGTCATTATTTTGTGAAAAGCGATATCGATGTGGGAGGTCGATAATGCGATGATGTAATGTCATGCAATAAATACGTGTGCGAGATAATTCAGTCTTTTGGTCTCTATTGGACTCTTTATGTTATTCAATAAATACGTTTGCTAGATAACTCACTTTTTTCGGGTCACTGATTTTGTGGCGGATGTGCTGAATGTAATGGGTCTTCGTATATATTGCACTGTCCGTTGCGTATAGGACTTCGACAGAGGTGTTAATTAATCAGCAGATTCGTATGTTTGCAGTTTATCTTGTCTGTTAGATCGAGTCTGTGTTGTGCATCCGAGAGAGTCTCTCTGTTTCTATTGCTGTCAACGATGTTGGGGGACGGGAATCTCTGCCTTATCGTCTTCGCCCAAAAAGAGCTCTGTACGGTCGTTATGGCGGTATCTAGACTGAAAATTGCTTTAAATACTTCATCCATACTAATGGTTGTACGTTCTTATGCGAAAAGACTAGTCAGACGGAGAGTTATGTGGATTGTGCTTGATTGGGCTATCGGTATCGGTTTCGATAAGAAGTTTGCGGATGCAGACAGAACTGCATTAAGACACTGCTGTTGCTAGTCAACGGAAGACCGAATGTTCTACTCATGACCACGTACGTATGTGACTTAGGTCAAGCGCAGGCGAGAAAATCAGTAGGAAAATGAGTCAGTTGGGTGTGTGCCAAGGAGACGGACGGTTCATCGTTTCTGGTTCATATTAAAAAAATTGTCTTTTTTATGTTCGAGATACTCCCCGAGCGTTGTCTTGAACTAGCACAAACTGGTTACTGGAAGAAAAAGGGTTTCGATTGGGTATTCGCGTCCGGCAGTCTTAATCGAAGTCGCATATGATTGGCTGAATGTATACCGCCTGCCCTTATAGGCTGGTGGTGCGCAATGGTAGTTGGGGCAGGAAACCATGAACTGCGGAGGAACGAGGGGAAATACGTGCTGTGTCCATAAATCGATAAATAAGCTTTATGACATCAAAGGGAAGCTTGTGATCGATTACCATTCGTTTTTGTAAACATGTAAGAATACCCGAATGTGATGACGTCGAAGTTTCTCTCCGGACAATCTATAGCCCTTCTGATCGGATTTCGAGACACCACTGAGGATGACACGACTTTGTTGTCACTGAAAAGGATGGAGTCCGAAGCCCTTCATCGGTGCCTGAATTGTAATAGCGGCGTTATATTTTCTCGTCTCCGGAGTGCGTCACGTTGAAGTGACTTGCATATATAGCCTCCTGATGAGTCGGTGAAGGTCTTGGTAAACGGTTTCTCACAGGCACTCGTTGTGTTGTTCTCTTCTCCCTCTCAAGCTACGGTTTACCGGGCAGTTCTGTTTGACGATCATCTATATATGTAAATTCAAAAAAATTGACTTGGGGGAAACAATGTGAAGTGCGTTCAAGTTTTAAGTTTTTCTGTTCTTGGCGGGTATGACGATGTCAAGGTGTTGTAGGCGTCACGTTTAAGTGGTGAAGACGTTCATTCTGCACCGATGTCGGGCTGGACCACCTTAATCCAAATAAGAACACGTGGCAAATTATCATCGTCGACGTACCTGTACTGAAAGTCGCCACGAATTTGGCCACAATAACCGGGCCTTCGATTCTATTCGGCTGAGGACGGTGGGAAGATGGTGTTACTCGTGGCTCATGTTGTTAACACGCAGTTTGAGTCGCGATTATTTGGGCTATGGCGACGAGTAACTGGAGACGTTTGTGGTGAACGGGACTAAAAGTTGAACCCATTCCGTACATATGCATTGTTAATGGAAAGCAAAGCTAAGAAATAGGATCCGGCGTCCGTAGTGACTGCTCGAGATTTCTAAGGATGGACTTCCATGTCCTTGTGTTGGAGCCATTGTGATGGGAACCCTTGAGCGCCCTGAGCAACTGTTTTCCACTCATAGGTATTAATACGAAGAGAATATTTGTTGCAGCAACACCTGCGGTATGATTAACGATAATGTGGGAAACGTGAATTGTGTGTTCCAGTGAGGTGAAGGAGCGGATTAAGAAGACCAAGGAGGAGAAGAAGGCGAAGAAGGTAGAAGCTCAAGCCAAGGCATCGAAGTCGGCGATGAAGACCACAGGAAAGGCGCCTCAACCGAAGGGGCCGAAGCTGGGTGGCGGCGGAGGAAAGCGTTAAAATCGTCTGAGGGATGTGCCAGCAATCGACGAACGCAAGGATAGAGCGGCTTGCGCGACGCGTGTTGCATTCGCTGTCTGCTTATCCTCCTTGGTTTTAGCGGTAGGAGAACACTTGTGCGACGCCGGGTAGCAGAGTTGATCGGAATTTTTGTATGCAGGGGTCCCTGTCCTCCTTTCTGTCGGTGGAAGCGCTGGCGATGTTACTTGTTGACATGGTGGGCAAGTAACGATGCTAATGTAAACATGTTTTCGTCCGCTGGGAGCGGCTGTGATTTTGTCTCATGGAGGGCGTTTGTGGTGGTCGATAACTGGTTTTGATTGATGCGTTGTGATTTGAAAGGTGGCATTTGCGGCGAAGGAGAGGAGTGTGCGCTCTTGGGAAAAAGGGAGGGGTGTGTACCCGTCGGTGCATATTGGGAGTCCGTGCAGTCTCTTGTCACGAGGAGGGAGGATATGGAAGGTGGAGTTTTTTTGTTTCTGTCGAGGCCGATTTAAGAGATTTGCCCCAAAGAAATCCGTCCTTGAAGATCGAGTTTTGATGAATCGTTCCGCAGAGTCAATCAGAGTCGTCTTGCCTTATTTCGTATGTGATACTCTCTGCATCTCTTTGCAATTGCTTCTCGTTTGCAATTCCTTCTCTTCATGTTTTTTTTTTTTCTTCTCCACGTATGTATTCTGTATGCTCTCTGCATTTCTCTTTCCACTTGCTGCTCTTCGTGACTTTTGTGTTTTGATGCTACTTTATTCGTTCGGATATATGAGGTTTGCATATGCGTGTTTGGAAATGGAAATTCTGGAAAATGATGGAAAATGAGATATCGTCGAACCCGGGCCTTAAACGATAGGTAGAGCTGCAACGCCGAATTATTCAGGGTTGCTTTGTTCAGAAATTGTCGCTGGCGTGTTGTCAACCAATCGTTCATTCGTAAGAAAGATGTAAGATGCGGCGTGGAGAGCTTGTTATGTGTGTGCATCTCTGTGGTCATGAGGCTCCTAGTGCGCTTTTTCAAGTCGCCTGCCCCTTTAGCTGCCTGATCCTGTGTATGCGAACAGAGAGTTGTGTGGGCGCTGAGTCGCCATAGCCATCGAAGTGAACTTGTGTCTGATCTGTGTTCTCGGTTACCTTATCTTTGAGTTCTCAGTGGGCGCTTGTCGCCAGTTTGCTGCGCACCTGTTTGCATGCATGAGAGTGTGAATGAAAGCGAGTCTGATTGCAGCCCAGTCTCGAATCGAGAATCTCTTACGGTGTTGTGTACCGTTGAGAGCGTCTTTTCAAAGTCGCCTACCCAAGCTACCTGTCGGTCTCGAATCGAGAATCTCTTACCGTGTATGCTGGTAAGAGCTGTGTACTCTGCGTCGGGTGAACCGGCAGCTTAGGAAAGGTGAGACTTGGTAGAGGGTATCAGGGGTGTTTTGAGGATCTGGGACAGTAGTGGGTGCTCGGGCTGGTGGGAACTCGAAGATCGTGTCCTCGTCTTATGGGAGGGGCAGGAGAGCGTCAACGAAGATCATTTCCTCTGCGTGCGTCATCTCCTACCGTCTTCTCCCGGACAGAACGTATCGTCGTTTTCGCTGTATCTGGACTGACAGTTGGGCAAATGCGTATAATAATGACCGTACGTATGTTCTATTCAGGGGACGACGGTAGGGCCACTGTCGAGCAACCCTGTTGATGCGGCGGGGCCGCCACCGGAGGTCTGTCTTCCGTTCGATCATCACACCGGTAGGTTCAAATCTGTTGGTGTAGATCAGGAAGACCACTGCCGAAACAAGCGACCAGCTTCTCAACTCTGTTAGCTGTATCGTACATTGAAGAGAGGGTGGGCACTTATCAATCCGAGAGTGATAAACAAGACACGTTGCCGTTGCGCTGTGCTACTTTTGAAGCATGTGACAGTTTCTTCCATGTTCAACTGGCCAGGAACTCCCTTCTGTGTTGTCGTGCCTGGCAGCTTTGTTTTTCTTGGGAACGTAGACCGGAGATGCTGCTGAGGGTGATCCGAGCATGTCCCACTATCACCCCCAGTCGTTGGCTCCTGTCAATGGGTAAGGAGCGTCACCTGCTGGAAACCGGGTCCGGCTTCCCACTGTACAACTTTCCGCCAGTACACTTTCTACACCGTTGCACTTCGCCCTGATGTTGCCCTGGCCCAGTGAAACTTCAGTGGCTGGCCAGTTACTTCTCTTTTCCTACCCGCGCCCAGAATCCCATCCGTGAACTTTGCCCGATATCATGTTCCTTCGTCCGGGTTGGACTTCATTGAACGTTTCGTCTGTGGGACCAATCGGTGCGGTATTCCACTTCTAGGTACGCGAGAAAGTTGACGCAGGTTAGTGGGCTTGTGGGTCGTGTTTGCTGAATGGTTTGCCGGCATCCCTCTCTCGATATCAGCCACAATTCGGAGTGTAATGCCGGTGAGCCTGGTCAGGGGGCCTCCAGGAAGTGTGTTTTCTGGTATGTTACTTTCCAAAAGGAGGCCGCTATCGGCCAGAAATCAGTGGCATTCTCACAGAGCAGAAGACGGTAACGAGTGTCCTTTACCACTCCGTTGCAATCTTCGCACAACTCGTTCAGATGGCTTTTGATCTATTTGCCCCTTCTCTCTTTCAGCAGCCACTGGTTGACAGGGAGGGCCAAATAAAAGTCTTGCCATTGGAAAGATGGGAGGCAAGTGCTTCGGATGCGGAGGCTGGCATGCTGAGGGGTACCGGCCGCCACTGGCTTCTCCCGAACTCCAGGTGCCCTGGCTTCCCCCGAACACAACGCACTCACCCTCGTCTTGGCTGCACGTGACCGGAAGGCTAGCTTGTATACATTCTTTATCGGGGTGCGTTTTGATGGGGGAAGATGGCAGCGGTAGGGTAATTGGGGGGTGAGCTTGCCAACTGTGCTTCAAGGTTGCAGGTATGTCTTGATGCCTTCTGCGGTGTTTAAAGCCCAAGCTGGTTCTTTCTAAACCTTTGGTCGGCGAGCTTGAGGTCGTCACTCTGTACATCTTCTAGAACTCGGGACTTTGCTAAGCAGGCACAGCTTAGCGACCACCTGAGCTCTGCCCGGTCTGTTAACCAGGCTTAGTTTGGCGCACTGGGTGGGTGATATCGTGAATTGACAAGGTGGCCCGCTCGTTGTTGGACCCCTGAGTGGCTATGAATGTCAGCATATGTGGCGCCCCCCAGTCTTCCGCTTGCCTGTTGGTTTCCTGCCGCATCAGTGCCGACCATCCTGGAGGAGGAGCAGATCTGAGCAGGGCGTCCATCTTGTCCTGCAGGTTATGGCAAAAACCCTTCAGGCCGTCTCTCAGCTGGGCACCGGTCTGCCAGCCTTTTAGGGTCATTGCTTAATGATTTTTGTACCCCGGACATTTTATTTTCTGGCGCGAAATAGCACTCTCATCGTTTCTTTCGATTTCTCCCCCCGTGGAGGGAAACCTACCATTGTCTCCAAGGAATGTGTCGTGTATACCTCCGCATACGATTACAGAAGTTCCGCATAGCTTTCTACCGTTTTCAGTCTACAATCCACTTGCTCTTTGGCTGACAGAGCTCAGCGTGGAGCACAGGTCTGCGTTGCGCTTTTCGTTTCTTGTTTTTGTGCGAGTGCTGATGCGGTCTATCATGTTTCATGAACTTTCACCCCTTCTTTTGAATAATCGAGGGCCTATAATGTAAATTCACGATTTTTGTTTTCAACTTCCTCTTCGGACGTAATTCCAGTCAGATTCATCTTCTTTAAGTCGTAATAGAAATCTGCTTACTGTCGCTCGAATTCATCTGCCGTCCATACGCCGAGGCCGTTTGCAAAATGCCGATAAAACTGCATACTTGGGTAACATGACCCTCAGCAGACGTGCGCTGAACGCGCCAATAGAAAAGAACGAAGCGAAAATTTCAGATTCGTCAATAAATTCAGCCAGCGACGACGTATTCCTTCGTGCCTACATTTTCCGTCAACAGAACCTACGGGAACAAGCACAAGGAGGCATGGAACATATTCGAGCGGCAGTTTCCCCCTGCATGCCGTGCAATGCCCAACAACGCTCTCAATTCAAATTGGCACATCCTAACTGAGCATGTGATTCTGAGCATGATCCTAGCAGCGATCAACTTAATGGTCGCGACAATCCCCATTTAGGTCATCCCCCTGATCGGACCATTTCAATAAAGAACCTCGACAAATCCCGTTTAGCTCTACTCCCCCGCCTCTAGTCCCCTTCCTCTGCCATTATATGACCAAACCAGCTATCTATCCAAGTCTGCTGAGCCCCTACCCCCACCCCCCTTACTACCTTCTTAAGCCGAATACAACGTACAGTCATTATGGCTGTATTTACACGGCAAGATAGCCAAAATACACGGTACGTTGTATTCGGGTGAAGACTGTAGAATATGCATATCGGCTGCTATTCAGATTCTTCCTCCGTATCTGCCCAGGCCCTTTAGCGTAGCAGAAGCGGACTGAACAGCATGCGGCAGATTTGAGGGTCTCGGGCGAGCAGGGTATGAATCCCATCTGCCCGAGAACCGTTCCTGCTTCGGTGCCAGTCCACCAGGAGAGCTACCCATATATTTTCCAGTGCCCTGTCCTGATAAGCCTGCAGGCGGGGGGAGGTACGATGTCTACAGTGTTCATTCCGGAGTGTCCAAAAGGCCCACACCACCGCTGCCGTCAAAATTTCAGATGTCATGAGATCATCCGGTTTGGCAGTCCACTTTCATCAGTGCCTCCAATAGGATAGCCGCATCAGCCTCCGCTGTGATGTCAAGCAGGGCTTTATCTGCTATCTTTTGTGCCCACCATTCTCAGAAGGTCCACACCGTCGGGCATCGTAGAAACAGGTGGGGCACTGTCTCTGGTCCTTGTGTCGGCTCTTAGTTGCCAACCACTGCGCTGTGGGGATCGCTAGATGGGACAGCTGCCATAGCAGACCTGCCTGTTTCTGAACTGGCAGGGCTGCCAGAACTGCACATTTCGCATTCCATCTTTTTGACGAGTCCATCTACCAAGAACTCCTCTTAGCCCAACGAGTTCTCAGCTCCTCGCAGATGTTCACAGGCTCCTGTAAAGAGTTGTAGATGTTCTTGGTAGTAAGATTCTGGAGTGGCACATCTGTCCTCGCATTAGTTGGCTGGGGCATTCCCATCGTCGTGGATCCCATGTCAGATCGTGCCGCCTGGATGCAATACAAAAGGGTGGGTATTGTCCCCAGCCCCATTCCCTCCCTCACATGCCGCGACCGTTTCGATTGCATTCCTATCAACGACTTTTGGGGGTTCCCTCCCTGTCGCATGCCAGAGTGGTGCAGACCAGAACCAGGGAACGGCCCTCTTAAAGATGGAGCAATGATAGCTGAGCAGAAGACTGAAATACCAACGATCAGACCCAATCATCAATGTCGTGACACAAAATGAACATCATCATCATCACCATCCCATGGTGTCAGTGGCCAGACGCCAGTACACGGAGAGAAGAGGTTGCTAGGTCCGATGCATACAGGGACGAGGGAGGGGGAGACAAAGAGGGGGAAGAAGAGGGGGGATGTCAACCCAGAGTGCCATCGATACCAATCCCAGCAATAGTCTCCCACATTGGCTCTGCTCAAATGTGAAGTCTGAATTCCAATCTCTCTCTCTCTCTCTCTCCCTCTCTGAAGCATGCACGTCGAACCGCGCGCAGCAAGCACAGTACGTCGGAGTGGCGAAAACCGTACGTCGAAACGGCGACCTCTCCTCGGGCAGGATTCCTCTCTCTCTCTCTGTGTGCCTGTGTGTATACCAGGCACTAACCTGCGAAAAGGTGTCGCCTTGATGCAGGTATGGACCAACTGAAGACAAAGCTGGAGCGATGGTGTCGCAGGTAAGTTGTCAGGTGAGTCTCCCTGTCCTCCTCCCTAGCCAGTCTCCCTCCAACCTCCACTACAGTAGGCTGCAGCGCTAGCTCGTGGCAGAAGTCTTAATGCGGCGCCCAGCGCTGGAAAACTACCGCTGTCCTATCGTTGACCACAGCTACCGCTACTAACTCCACGAAAGCCTGAAGAATCCCTACGGAAGCTGAGACCGACCAGCTATAAATAATGCTGGTCTGGCCTCATGTAGTGACCTGAGTGGCATCTTTGGCGCCTAAACTTGGCGCCCAAACGGAAAAAAGTTTGGCGCCTTAACTGGTGCCCAGGGCCTGTGCCCTTTGGAAATGGCGCCCGGGGAATGAAACGGTGCC